TACAAAAAAAAAAAAAAAAAAAAAAAAATAAATATAAAAAATATATATATATATATATATATATATATATATATATATATATATATATATTTTCTAATGTTTTTAGCTTATTGAAACGTTCTACTTGGTAATGAGAGTGACATCTTTAACAACTACACCAGCTTTTTATTTTACAGCACTTTTAACTAATGTTATTTCAGTTTGATTTGAATGGAAAATAGATGCAGGAAGTCATGTTTTTCTAAATTTTGGACAACTCTGGAAAAGGGCTTTTGTTCAAAAGTGACAGTGTGCATTGATAAATATTTTAAATGACACAAAGTCCCCCCCATTTGTCGCCCGAGGATGATTTTCTATTGCCCTCCTGCTAGGAGGTACAGGCCAAACAATTTAAATATTTTAAATACATTTAAAAAAAACATGAACATTATAAAAAAAAAAAGGCGCACATAACATTCCAAGGATCTAGATAATCAAATTTCATATATTCACATTATTTATAGCAATATCACATTAAGATTCACTGTTTTAGGAGGTAAAGGACGGAGATATCTTCTGTCCAGTCCTGGGTTATAAAAAAAGCTTCAAAAAAGCTATTCTGGTCAAACTGAAACGTACATTTTTTTAACCTGTGGTTTATAACCAGAGACAATGTAAAAGCACAAAAATCTCTTCCTCTATCTACATTTTTTACTAAGTTGTAAAACAAAAGTTGCACTATGAAAAAAAAAACTCTAGTTGTTGAAAATTAAATCCCAAAAAATGGGCCACAGTTTAAGAAGACAAAGTTCATCAGCTGCCTCTTGCTTGAACATTACTTTTTGCTGCAGGTTCAAACGTAAAAATGACTAAATAGCCAACTCAAAACCTCAACTCACACTGCAACAGCACCTGGCATAATAAGGCCGCAACCACCCTTGAATTTTGATAAGTGGAGTGTGTAATGTGAAATTTGTGCTCTCTACAGGTTTGAGAAAATATAACCAGAAAGAATTTGAATGCACAAAAATAAGTAGCAAAAAAAAAAAAAAAAATCTGAAGAAACGGCAAAGAACAGGAGCAGAAGGCAGCCATGATGAAAGTGGCTAGAAGAAAATAAAAAAGAGAGAAAGAGGAAGCAGGAAAGGTGAGTGGATAGGGTAATTGCTAAAGATCAGATGATGCCACCAAGGAGGAAAACGCTGGCAGACGTGATAACTGCTCCCTAAATACCGTTTTAACTGCTGAGAAAGATGAGCAGCTTTTATGATGTCTAAGGTCTCATCTCCTGTGTGGTGACTGAAAAATCATTCTTCACCTGTTGCAACTCAGTAATCTTTCTCTTTTTTCCTCCTCAGCCAGATCCCTACATGCACACAAGTTCCCCCAGATAGAGTGGAATAACAAAAAAATCTAGCATTGAGCTTAGTGAGAAAAATTAGTTTTAAGATATTTGCTTAACTAATTGAAAATCACAGAAAGCAGAAACATTGGATTGGTTTAAGTTTATTAAATTCCAGTTTCAGATTAAATGTGCTGATGAGATGAAAGAGCCGATGGACTTTTTATTTCTGACTTTCTAGACATTTATTGTCAATTTACTGAGAGTTGGGGGAAAAAAAAGGCATCAAAAAGTTGCCAAGTCTTAAAAAAGGGAAAAAAGAAAGAAAAGGGCAAAGGTTGCTTTGTGTAAAAATGTTATAAGATTTATGTCCAAAATAACTTCTTTCATTATTATTATTGACTGCAACATCTCACAAAAATGTATGGGAAAGTCATTCCCAGGAGAGTTTACACAAAGGGATAATTCTATCCATCACTGTTTGTCATGGACAAACATGCATCTACCAGATCAATACAGTCATGCCAGTTTAAACAAACAAAAATCTTTCCAGATTCAATCACGAACAGATAAAAAAGATCTAATGTGATTGTATTTTCCTTACAGAATATATAATCCCTTATCTATCTTATGTCAGGGGAATGCGGCTCTCTCAAAGTCAAAACTATCTGATGCGAGATAAGGGTAGCACTTCCTATTACAGCTTGGTAATTAGATGGGGTGACTGCTCTGAAATAAAACTACAATATTTGGACAAGAAAGGAAGGAAGGACCAAATGAAGTAAAGCCGGGATGACATAATGGAGGAAGGACATAGAAGTGTACGGAGAGGATAGAAGGAAGGAAGGACACGTGGAACATAAGGAAGGAATAAAGGAAACAAAGAATAAAAGACAGAAGGAAAAGGACAACTTTTAACAATGCAGTAAGGAAATAACTTCTGGGAATAGAAATGTTTTTTCCATTGTCTTATTTTCATCGTCTATATTTATCCAGACATTATAGAAATCACATTTAACATGAAATATTAAATTATTACCAACTTGTTACAACTCCATAGTAATATTAGTATTATTTCTATTAGCAATGATTATTTCACAGTTATTAACCTTTTCATTAAAGTATCATCACAGTGTAAGCTTCTTATTACTGAACTGTTTTAGACTGTGTCACCATAATAAGCCATTAAGATCTACCCAAACTGAGGAAGCCAAAGATGACAAAAAATTGAGAATCAGGTGTTTCAAAAAAAAATAAATAAATAAATAAAAATGGGCAGCTAACCGGTCTTTGGCTGCAGATTTTTCCGCGGCTCTCCAGGTCCCTCAATGGGTTGGTCAGCGAGAAACATCCTGGCCTGGTCCAAAGTGCTGATTACCAAATGCTCGCGTTCCTTCAGTTCAGAGCAAAGAGTCTGCAGGAGAAACAAAAGAGAAAGAGACTTCAGTACCTAAAAAAAAATAGTTTATGACAAAAACAAAGCAATAATACAGTAATTTGAAAAAAAAAAAAAAGCAGCTACATCAGGATTGTAGCAGCTCTCGGGACAAGTTTGCAGAGACCACCCAGATGTTTTCCAGAAGTCTGTAAATTGGATAAGTGATGCACAGAAAAATAAGGAAGTGAACTTGAATGGACTATTACCATAAAATCCAGAGATAATGTAGCTTAGCTTGTTCTCTGCTTCACAGATGTGCTGAAACTCTGACACGGTTTTTCGGGGTACAGTTGCTCTTTTAAATATCCATCTACTATGAATATGTACATAGTTGTATCTCCATGTCTATCTACACACACACTTACACTGTACATGACATGGTGGGCCTTCATTGCTTACTGGAGTGTGGGATTGCTTTCTTAAGAGCCCGTGTAACTGAAGACACTGAAGCAAGTTCTTTAAATTGAATGATTCACTTTAATAAAGTGGTACAACTCATTAAAACAACAAAGGCTGCAAAAATCGGATGCCAAAAATCACCTGGCCAGTCGACACTGAGCAATGAGCAGATTACAAAACACTGGATTTACACTGATGATACAATCTATGAGAAGCTGTAAATTCAGGTTGTTATTTTGTATTTTTTATTTTTATTTTTTGCAACTTTTAAATAAAACAAAAAACTATCATCTCATGGTGAAAATTTCTCCTAAATTAAAGCTCACACCACCCTAACATCAATTTCACACAGAATCCCGCAGTTCGTCATGCTGAAAGAGAGCACTGCACTCAAAAATTAGATCATCTCTGCTAATAAATGGTTTGCTCCATTCCAATGACTTCCCACAAATTTACATGCCAGATATAATATGCAGGTAAGTCAGAAAGTGAGCAAAAAAAGAGAGAGTGAGGAAGAGCAGGAGAGGTGTAAACAGACGAGCTGTGAAGTGGAAACACACTCTACACTTTATGAGTAAGTTGTTTTTATCTCATATTCACAACACAATTACAAACCCAATCTCAGACTTGGTTGAAAACAGTACTATACAGTGTTATTTTCTTAATATAGCTCTAGGAGCCTAAACACTTCATAATGAGTTGGGATAAAGAAAAGAAATATATATACTTCCTCAAGTCAATTACCAAGTAGGAAAAAGCTGAATTTTTTTCCTTTGTGTTCTTTTCAGAGTGTTTCTCCACCATTGGTATCAGAATGGTAATAGTATCAACAGAAGTGAACTGTAGATGGGCTAAAACTAATGGCACCCCTGGTGCATACGAAATCACTCTGTATTTGCAAAATCAAACCTTTTAATTTGATATACATTGGTATCAGCCCCATATTGTTTATGCATGAAGAAACCAAGGCTTTGACTTTAAATATAAAATCAGAGATTAACTTTTTTTTTCTGAATACCTTTTCTTTTGTTGTTGTTTTTTTTTTTTAAAAACAAAAAAAAACAATGTGGTGTAGACCTCTATGATCTGTAAAGAGCAGAGGAATAGATGACACTTCTAATGTGCTGTAATGCTCTTGAGAGACATCTTGTCAGTAGAAGTCACGCTGACCTTGGTTGCGTCTGTGTGTATTCCTGCAGGTGAGATATTTTGCACGTGTGCCAACATTTGTGTACAGGTCATTGTAAGCGTTCTCCCTGAATGTCGCCGCAAACTCTTATCTCCATGCGCTCTGTGCTGTGGCGCCAATGAGATAACATCACCACACAGCTCCTTTCAGAGCTCTGCCAAACATCCCTCTTCCTCCTCTCAAAATCCCCACTATCTCAGCCCCCATGCTATACACCAAACAACTACACCTCTTTCCAGAAAAAAAACAAAAAAACAACAACTTTAAAATAACAGTATCTTAACTCCAGGGCAGGAAATTACATAAATTCAAGCAGGCTCTGCAACAGAGGTTCGCTCGCATCCAAATAAATTACAAGACGCTGATGACTTCCCATTTAGAGGAGGCAAATGTTTGAGCTTGTGTTGTCTGGGCTAAATTACCTTTTGAATCCACGTACAGTTTCATAAGGAGGGAGCCTCAGAGTTATTCAGCCTGAAAATGTAATAGCTCCCTTCTGCTTGCATTTACTGCCATCTTGAAAAAGGTGGTTGCTGTTTTAAACAAGATATATATTTTTTTTCTTTCTTACATGTCGGATGGAACAACCGCTTCCAGGCTTGGTCCTTGTAAACAGGAAACCTTTCCATTGCATAAATGGATAGAATATTAAAGGAGAACTAACTCCAAATTCCAACAGCTTTACCTCAAATAAGCAGCAGCAGTTAAAAATTGGACAAAAACTGATGTTCAAACAGGACAATGATCGCAAAAACACATCAAATTGGCTATGGATGAAACATGATAGCAATAAATTGCTTTTTAGGAGCTGTCAAATTATGGTTGTTAATAAATGCAACACAAAACAAATTAAAGCTGAGGAACAACAACAATAAAAACAAACAAAAAAAGCCTGATATGCTGCTTTATGTTTCCCATTATCCAAAAAGCTTCAGGTTGTCACAAAGCAACAGCTTTTTTTTATTTATAACAACTCAAAGTAAAAGTAAGAAATCTGTCTGATCAAATCAAAATATCTACAAGGGCAGAACATCACTGAACAACACTAATTTGTGTAGCTTTAATGTTGGAGTCTTTTTATGCATCTGTTTACAAAACCACATTATGTGGAACAACATGAATGTATTGTTGTTCATGCACCAGGCAGGTTTGACTGGCATACCATTATATTGTCGCCCTGCAGAAGTAAAACAAATCTGAAAAAAATATATAAAGTGAAAACGATTAAAAGTTAACCAAAAAGAGACAACTATGAGTCTGGTAAGGACTCTTCCAAGAGAGAATAAAGGCACTAATCCATTTCAGGCTCCTGTAATTCAGTCGGTTAAAGTGGAAATGGTCTAATCAGTCATAGAGACACAATGATTAAGATGTGCTCTGCAGCAATTTTTTTTAGAACTTACTTGCTTAAAGCAGGGTCTTTAAAACTACATAAGAATACATTAACACAATAATGAGAAGATTATAAACATTAACTCGGCTCAGATTTTCATTTCTTTTCTTATTAACTCAGAAACATCTGGAGTTTTTTCCTCAAACAATTAGACTGTAAATGTTCTACCATCATAAACAAGCAGCCAGCTGTTGCAAAAGGAAGAGTGATAAAAAAAAGAAGAAAAAAAAACAAGTAATTTTCAGATAGAGTGAGGAGCTTATTCAGCTGTTGGACTTTGTTTTAGATAACTGAATTTGCGATGTTTTAATGGGATTTTAGCAAACAGACAATAACCCTTAGACAACTACTACAAAAGACCGCAGAAATAATTCATGTATGACAGGAAAACAATCACCGCTCCATCCTGCTCGCATATTCGAAAGATAACATAATGCCAAAAACATGACAAATTTGATTATAATAACAGTGTTTGAGTCAGATTGGGCTGAGTACAAACACAAAGGTGGAAAATGCATCTGCTCTTCACCTCACTTACACATCATTTTCCATTTTCCTTTCATCTAACAGTGCTTCTGTCTGATGCTACCTTTCCACTCTGGGTCTAAATCGGTGCTCCCTCAGATTTGTCCTTCCTCCGATTCCTTAATAACAGCAATATCCGTCTCTCTCTGCTGGACTAAGTGGCTTAGCCCTTCTCTTTTATCTCCCCCAACCTTCCAGAATAAAAAAAAAAAAAAAAAAAAAAAAAAAAGGGTTTTTTTCCCCCCACTTAGCCCTTCTAAGCCGTCCTTACCTTGCTGATACTGATTTCCATACATCAATGCAGACTAACCCCGTTCATCTGACTGAGCAGTTGGAGTGAAAAACCGTGTTTGTGAGTACAGTTGCTTTGCGAGTCTGTGCCTGTCAGTGCAGGCAAGTAATAGAGCATGACTTGCTCAAAGCCTCGGCTCTCTGTTCTACTCATCCTTCTAAGGGTCAGCGAGACCTCAGGCCAGCCTATTAGGAAAACAGAGAAGAAAGCAAGGGGGAAATATAAACTCCAAAGTGCGAAAATTAAACTTTCCTCAACCTCCCTCCTCAGGTTATTCCAATTTTTTGCATCCTCAAAGGTGTGGAACCGTAGAAGAATGCGCAAATAGGTGGGGCGGGGAGGGGGGGTAACAAAAAAGGAAAAGAGAAATGAGGAGGAAAAAAAAAAAGGGCAAAAAAAAAAAAAAAACCTGGGGCAAAAAGGAGTGAATGAAATGAAACCCATAAAAATATGAGAGAGAAAAAAGAGGTCCATAAAGATTGGACTGTGTGGTCAGCAATTTTTAGTTTGGGTCAACTACCAAATATAAGATACTTTTCAGTTAATTCCCAACATCTGTTAGCTCATAACCAAGCTATTATGCAAAAATGCAAAAAAGACCAGTATTTCTTCAGCCGACTGTCATGCAGCTTAATCAAAAATACATCACTGAATTTAAAGATTATTTTATGAGTGGTCTGCTCTTCTTGTTATTAATGATTCCCAATTAAATCATCAGTATGCTATACTTAGCAGGCGCTATAGCAGCCAAATAATTGATCATCTGCTGCTACAAGAGCAAACCGTCTCCACAGGGCATCCTCTATTCATCTTGATAGTTTGGATTTAGAATAAGAAGGATATTAGGAAACTGAATAGTATCAATTTGGTTTTCTCTTTCATTGTTTGAAATTAGCATTAGAAATTGTAATATTCATGAAAAGTATTCATAAGGTGGCTTTTATTTTACTTTCTTCCTACTTTTGTCTACAGAAAAAAAGAAATATGAATCAGTAGAAGCAGAAGAAGCAAAGAGATCAGGGATAAATTCAATCAATTGGGGTTAAACAGTAGCTGGAGGGTAAAAATATTTGTCTGAAAGCAATTACTTCTGCAATAACTTTTGTAAAACTTGGTGTTTATAATAAATAATTCAGTGCAGAACATCAATAGTGGATGGAGGAGGACGTAGAAGGGTCAGAAAATTACATGCGCTGACAGTTTATAAACATAAATGATTCATAATGGTGCCAACAATAATTCTAGGAATTCAAAAGGTTAAATAAGTGGGTGAAGTGTTATGATTTGGAATTTAGATGTAAATGCATGAATTTCAGTGAGATGTTACTGTGCCTGTAAGAATTCCCAAAATGAGATTCTCCCCACTCACTTTTAAAGATCTGTAAAAAGCATTACATAAATTTATGCAACATAATCTCGGTGAAACATTGACTGCAGCTGTCCAGAAGTAAACTTTGGAGATTTTTTAAGTTATTTTGGAGTCACAAAAATGAGAGATAGAAGGACAAACTTACAACTCCCTCCAACATTGTCCGTTACATTTTAGGATGTTTAATCCATTTAATATTGTGGGTAACAAATAAGTGACTATTCATTGCGACACTGATAATTTCATAAAAATTATATCTTTATGTGACTTAATTCTCTACTAAACTACTAAACAAATGTGTTCATATTTAAGACTAAATGTTTTTTTGTTTGTTTTTTTTTCCCAGATGCTTTTTAAAGATATCTACCAAGTGACCAAAAGGCTGTGTAAGGTGCTGCATAGAGTAACTAATAAAATAACCTATGCAGACCAATTTAGGCAGCTAATGTCTTTATTTCCAGGCACAACATGCACCTCTAATTTCCCCGGGAGAACGGCAGTGGTGAGTAATATTGCTTTTCTTTTACAGAAGCTAGTTAGGACTCACTCAATATTGGGTTTGGCCCCAGAGGACATGTGACCATTAAAAATTTAGAGCCCAATAGCTGGAAATACGATGAGGGTTTAAACTGACAGAAATGCCCCTTCAGTGTGTAGAACATGAGCTTTATAGTAAGATTCCTGTTGGATCAATTACTGTCAAGTGAATGTTAATGCATAAATTTGTATAGAAAACGAATATATGCAGATAAAGAGAGATCCTGCACAGTGCAACGGGGACGTATTGAGGGTACGTACCATGCAGTGGTTCTGCTGCTGCAGCAAAGTGGGCACATCCCCTCCGACAGGCATCTGCTTGGCCAGCTCCTCGTCCTTCGTGCAGATCCAACGCCATAGCTCCTCGAGGAGGCCCAGAAGACGTGACCAGCGCTCCGCACTCGCCTCCAGGTGGGCTCTGCCATCAAACATCACATGATTTAGTTGTGATACCGTTTTCTCTTTGATGCTATTCTTGGATTCTCGTCTTGTACAGTTGTTCTCTGTTGTTGATCTATTTTTGAATCATCTTTTCATATGATTCAATAGTTAAAAAAAAAAAAAA